GCGAGGCGATCTAGATGAGCAGCCTGTCAGTCTTGGTCTTCCGATAGAATCCCACTCAGTGACGATTTGGACTGGAGTTAGTTGAAGCGAAAGGTCTTCATACGACGGTCAAGTACCATCCATGCTCGCGGAATCGCGGCGGGAAGCCGGCCTCGGCCTTTTCGAAGAGCTCTGTCAGAGCAGCCGGCGTGGTGGCCGTGGTGGGAGTGCTGGTCAGCGCGGTGTTGGTAACGGTATCGTCCATCATAGCTGGTCGAGTCGCCATAGTGCTGACATATCGTAACGACCTGGTCCGATTCTGAACCGCCACGAGGAGGCCCCTTGGTATTAAAGTAGGCCGAAATGGACTGCGACTTGGGGCTCTCAAGGGGTGGGATCGGGAGAGAGACCGCACCGCTACTTTGCCCGGTCGGACAGTGCGAAAGAATCTCATTAGAATGAACGCGCCAGGTCGTTAGGTTGGACTGTGTCTATAGACAGTTTGCGAGAGCACTATCTCTAGGCTGTACGAGGACGGGATGTTGCGGGCGCGGGAGTTTGCTTTCTGTTCATCTTCCGGTGAAACTCTTCAGTCTCCAAAAAATGCTCTACGAGACCATTTAATCCGACCAAAGCTGGCGTACTCTTCTCTGTACCACCTGAAGCCCAACGCTTGGTAAGTTTCCTGAGTACAGACTCCAAGAGAGACAACATCCTAAAGAATGAGAAAACAAGGCTGTCTGACGATATGCATCAGCCCGGATAATGACGGAACCAGAGAGCAGAGCCCGGCTACCCGGGCGACCATCGGGGCAACACTGTGCCTCACCGGTTGTCTTGAACGACAAACGAGCTGCGTGCGCATGGGTCTTATGGTGTGTTACTCAATGATTTCTTGAATGCCATTCGTCCACGTCCCTTCCCCTTCGTGTCACCTAGATCAGTGAGGAAGAGGGGGTGATCAAGCAGGCTGGCCGTTTGAGAGGAAACAAGGCAAGGCTACCTACCTTAGCTATGACTACTACCGGCCAGAAATTTGAGGCACCCGCATCGCCGCTGCAGTTGCTTTTCGTACGCTCGCGCAAAGCCGATTCGTTGCCTACTAACTATAGGGAACGTGTTGCGTCTGTGTTGGTTGCCTGTGCAGATGATGCGACGCTCCAGAAACGAAAGTACGCCGGCTAATTTCCTCTTAACTAAACGAGGTCATGACTCCTATCTTGAAGAGAGTGTTATTATTCACGTAAGTGTATTGCAACAAGCTATGGTGACCACTACGGGTATCCTCAAGATAGGGAGAAAGTGAAGATTGTCTCCCCAGCTAGCTTTCTAGGTAAGTGTTTTCCAGACTGAGGGATAGGTCAGCAGCTTACTTACCTTATGTCATCCTCTGCTACGGGCTTCCCAGGCTTTTTAAGTGTTCCTACGTTCGAGGGGACGCGGCCATCATCAATCAGCCTCGCATCGGTTGAGGGCACGACAGTATTGACTACAACGCCGAGATAACTCCCGCTTATATCGCTAATGCCCTCGTTGCCGTCGAGCCACCCGCCTCGGCTGTTTAGCTGGTATCCTACAGAATATGACAAAGCCTCCCTACGCCAACAGAAAGCATCGCTACCAAACCTAGAAGACAAAGAACCTGTCAAGCGGTTCAAACGCTCTCTCTCTCTCTATCCCTTCAACAGCTAACTCAGCTCCAAAAGAGCCGGGATTTGATCTTACTTCCTCCGCTCTCATCCCCCAGCGATGTTCAAAACCTATCTCACACCGCCCGTGCCTTTCAAAGGAGTGGCTAATCATTCGCCTAGTCTGCCGCGGCCGCTGCCGCCCGGCGCTCCGCCTCCATCATGAATCTGCTCACCTCGGGGTCCAGCGGCAGTGTACTCCTCATCGTTAACTTGTTTCCGATGACCTTGAGACCGCTGAGAGATCGCGCGCGGCTCAGGGCCACATAGGTCTGCCTTCCATCCCAGACGTTCTGGAGGTTAACGCTGACACGGTCGAGCGACAGGCTTTGGCTCTTGTGAATGGTCATGGCCCAGCCCGGGACTAGAGGGATCTGTGTGCGCGCCGAGTATGACTTCAGGACCTTTTTGTACCCGTTTTCGGTGGGAATGACCTCTGTTTCGATGTCGTTCATGTCGCAGTAGGGGAGGATGACGCGATTTTGGCCGTTTGCGAATATGATTACAGGGACTGTGCAGCGGAGAAAGAGGGACGAAGGTTAGCGGTTCGTGGCTACAACTCTTTGATTGACCCGGGACACGGGAGAACTCACAACCCTTGGCACCCGAGGGACCATTAATGTAGTTGGTCATCTGTTCGTATCTCGCGCATGCGATCTGAAAGCCGTAGGTGTCCCCTTTGTAGTTCCCCTTTTCGGGCATCTTGGGCTTGTTGCATTCGTCTAACTTCCGTATGAAGCGGACGAGCTTGCCCTGGCTGCCGTTGCACAAACCATTCTCGACGTCGAGCTGCGAGTTTTTCACTAGCGCGTTACTCTAGGTAACCTTGGAACAGGGTGTGCGATAGCGCGGCGAGAGGGGAGAGGGGAGAGGGGAGAACTCACGTTAGCCAGCAGCACAACCGGCATGCCAGCTTTGAGTTCCAGCTGCTTATCGAATCGGTTCTTTCGGTCTTCGCCGAGTTTTTTCGGGTGGTCCAGGGCATCAAACTGTTCTGGGCGGCTGGGAAGCTTGCCGAGCTCCAGGTTGTTGTAGTCCTTGGCTTTCTGCCTGCGGCCGAACAGGGCTATACCATTCCTGACTTCGCGAGGTTGCAGCAGGACGTTGAGATCGGCGTCGGTTGTGTGACCCAGGCGGATTTTCTGGAGCATCATTATGAATTTCTCATCGCTTTGCCGATGGATCTTGGTTAGATGGATGTATCTATTCGCCGAGGATGTCAGGTCTGCGTCCTCAATCCGACCATCCAACGGATCATGATACTCACTGAAAATTACAATCTGCCCAGGTCCGCGAGTTGAAGGCCCATTTTTGAGCATCTGGAAATGTAGGGTGCTCTCTGTCTCGAGGACAAAAGTGCAGATTGCGTTCCTTGTCGAAAACCAACTTTCCACACGCCGTTGAAGTTTGGTGGTCCGGGTCGTATGCCACCTCCTCAGTGCAGTACTCGAACGGTTGCACGGGGGATAGCTGGCAGAAGTCCCCGACCGCGATGACCTGGATGCCGCCGAACGGTCGCCTCACCGAATCCGCGGTCTGTTTTCTGCAGATAATGCCCCTGCCTGTGGCGAACCTCTCCCGTCGGAGCATTCCGAGAACGTCAGAGAGCCGGTTCAAGAATTCGCCCTCGACCATGCTGATCTCGTCGATGATGAGGACGTCGGTGCTCTCGATGCGGTTAAACACCGAAAGGTAACGCGACTTTTTGACAAGAGTCCTGAATGTCTCCTTCGGGTCACTGACGTTCCATCCAGCGTAGGAAAACGTTGTCCTGCCATCGATATTAGTGGCGGCCTGGCCCGTAGGCGCGACGAGGTAGACGATCTTTTCTTGGGCGCTTAGGGCCTTGTTGAGGGCCTTCACCAGGACCGATTTGCCGCAGCCGCCAGATCTGAGAGGGTCAGTCGTGACTTAGTTTTCCTCCTCCTTTAGGATTGATGGACCTACCCCGTGATGAAGAGGCTGTGACCTTGCATGGCCAGATCTAGGGCGTGCTGCTGTTCAGGGCATAGGGGAAATTCCGGGGCCGCCTTTGCGACTGCCGGGTCTTTCTCGCCTTCAGGGCGATCATTCTCGCGTTTGATATACTCGTTCGTTTGATCTGAGTAGCCCTTGAGAGGGAAAAACCCCTCCGATTCCCTCATTACTTCTTCCTCTTCGTCAAAACCCCTCTCCCGTTTGATCGCGGCCTCATGGAAACCATCCTCCTCCCTTTTGATTGCTGCCTGAGCGGAATCATCCTCCTCCTTTTTGATCACGGCCTCGCGAGCATCATCCTTCTCCTCTTTGATGACCACATCGTCATCATCCTCAATCTTGATAGGCGACTCGCGTGAACCACATTGATGGTTTGCTTCGCGTTTGACGGCTTTGGATCGATGGACGTCAGGATAAAAAACACCCGAAGGCTCCTGATCGTGCTCCTCCTGCTCCTCCCGGGGCCGCTTGACTGGAGAAGGCGCCGCGGCGGGTGCAGGCGAGGGTACGGTAGACCTAGTTTGATGTGCCGGGGAATAATTCATCAAAGAGCCAGCGTCGATCTCGAGAGCAAGCCCAGAGATGAGAAGGTCCATCTAATGTATGTCAGTCTCCTAGTTCACAAATGAGAAGGTCTTCACTCACAGCCACGTTGAAGCTCGAAGCGGTAGTGTCTGGATTGATTGCCGCGTGTTAGCGTGGTGGGGTTGACGGATGACGGAGTACACAGCCAAATTCCTGCGCGTACTTTTGTTCTCGCATCCTTCAGTCTGTTTCTTGGTATCGTTCCAATCCGTGAAGATGCCATATTTCCTGCCGTGCGCCCCGGGTCCGCGCAGGTAGTAGACCACGTAGTATTTCGGGGCGTGTCCTCTCTCGAGCACGACCGGATTGCGCGAGTCGTTGATGTAGTTCTTCGCGGCCTGCAACGCCTGCTCGGATGCAGGTCGGGGGTTCCCGACCAGCTGATTCCGGGCCGGCTTGGCCATGACTGTAAGTGTCGGCGGTATGATGGTCGTCCTCGAAGCTCATCATGAGATTGAAGTACGCGATAAAAGGAGGGAAGTGCCGGAAGCTAGGGGAAGGTTTCGGAGGCTCCACATCACGGCTTATGTCAGCCATTTCTGGTCGCGCATTGGCCGTCGGGCCTCCATAACGCAGTTCATTTCCCCCAAATCTTTGCTTTTTCGAGATTATCCAAGACTTCTTTAGAGGCGTTTTTTTATTCCTTGACGACTCATCGACAATAGGTAGGCTAGGTTCCTAGGAACTTTTCGAGCCCACATATCAGTATTCACCCTCACGAAATGTGACTATCATGAGCAATTGGTAATTAAGGCGGCAGCATTGCATCGCCTAGGCAGTCGATGTCCAAGCAATCCAGGTTGTCAATACCCCAGCCAAAGCTACATAAAAGGCACCCGCTGTATAAGCAACACCCCAGTCTCGATACACGGCTTGGGAAACGATAACAAGGAGACCAAAAACCACAGTGCTCCCGACTAGAAGTATCACAGATGGCGTGCCAAAGCTGGTATAGGGCCATTCCACGATTCGGAAGCCGACAAACTCAATGTCTGCCACTGCACGAATCACGGCAGTTTCAACAGGTGGTATGATGTCTCTAGAAACGTTATTAGTAAGTACCTCAAGTGAGGCCTTTCATCACTCGACAGCAAAGACACTGGAGACCTGCTCACTTTGAAGAATAAATCCATCTATCGTAAAGCACATCGTTCCCCACGGCTAGCTTTGGATAGACCAGGAGCATGTCCCAGACTGAAGCCAGCTTGAGCTTTGAAAGCTCTTTCAACCTATCCACATGGATTTCAACGCAGCAACTGCTGAGTTTGGATGATGTGAGGTCTTCTCCCCATGCCTCGTGAATCTCGCTGCCATGATGGACTGTATCCATTCTCAGGTTATGGTAGCAGCAAAACTCGCTGTCGTCGGGATTCGATGGTTCGGTCATGTCATATTTGTCGTTGCTGATCAACTTTTGGAGAGCCTCAATTCTTTCAGCAATGCTGACGATCTGGAACTGTCCCCGGAATGCATCCGACCTGGAACTATGCCGGCCTACGATTCTCAGCTTCGAACTTCAGGGTCAGCAACTATCTGGATTATAATTTGGATCTTGAGGTTCTATGTCCGAGAACATAAGAGATCCACTTACATTTACCAGCTCAAGCCTCACAGGGCCAAGCAATCGTTTCCACCGCCGAGTTACCTGCCGCGCGACTCCAGACAATTTATCCCATAAGCTGATCGAATTTAATGTATCTCCTAGTTTGATGGTGGAGATGACAGCATCCTGTTCTTTGCCCTCGCAGACCAAGACGAACGGGGCACTGGAGAACAGCGGTTCTAGTACGTCGCATATCTCTTCCCTTCGTTGGACAACTGGATCTGGCGGACTGGCCTTCCTCCTGACGATACGCCTACCGGCTCTTTTCTCGCAAGTGATAGGGTTTTCGGTTGCTGAAGAAGAAAATGTTACAGGAGGATCCTTTGGTGCCTCGGTTGTCCTTGGTGGATAGCCAGAGGGTCCTGTAGGAGGTCGTCGGGGTTCGATGGGGCCTGGTGCACCTACGGTGTCTGGACGAATTTCGAAAAATGGAAGCTCGTCGCCAACCTGGTCTGTTATGTTCCCTAAGTGCTGGCGCTGGAGCCCTGAGAGCTGGGTGACAATCTTGTGTCCTAATACATCTAGTGAGACGGCTTGATGGCGGAGAGAGATCGAAGGGCGGGATGACAAGGACATGATGGAGCTCGCGTCCGCACTGAGGATATTATGCGACGGTGAGGGTTGACTATGAATTCGATCGCTGACGGTGTGACTCCCGCTTTCTTCATCGTTAGCTCTACCGGCATGCTTGCTCGACACGTAAGCAGCTGGTGGAGGTGGAATCAGCGGACTTGGTGAACTCATTTTTATCAAAGATCGGTACTAGTTGTGCACCACGATTGAGTAGTCTTTCAATCGTTGCGATATGAAGGATTCTCGAGTGTTTTTTTATGTACGCGGAAATTCCGCCTGAGTGTCAACTATCTATCAGTCAGCCTGATGAGCAGCCTAGGAGTTGTTGGGCTGCAGTGAAGAGGCCATTGGCGCTTGAGCTGAGGCTATGCACTGTAGATCGATACAGCCTGCCGCAGTCTGGAAAACATACCAGTTGCCCCAAGTAGAATTACGATGGAACAGTTATGTTGAACTTCAGAAATGATATGTGCTTAAGATGCCTTGATCAGGTCCCTCAGATGGGATGTGAAAACAACGGAGATATGCTCAATCACTAGTTTCCGATTGAGTGTGAATCAAAGGAGTTCAGAAGTATAAGTTGTCTCTACTTAATCCTGGACTCAGGCAATAATAATTCAAGCAGTTTCACTATTAAACCTCTATGCTGAGCCGATGATAACATCAACCTCACACAGAAAATCACCAGTACCTACATATTACCTTTTATTGCAAAATATCGCCACGCTTCAACTGACACTCTCAAATAATCACTACATTGTATTCCAGAGCGTTCTTTTACAACAGTAATGACTTTTACATAAGCGAAATCTCATGGGCTGAGACGCGCATACACGAGCTGACATGCAGCGTACCCGACCTGCAGGCTCTCGTTGGGACGGGGCGAGAATGCTATGCAGCCACGCCGGGGAAGGACCAGGATCCCAGGAACGAGAAAGAATCAATGCGCGTATTACCCAGTAGCTGAAATCGCCTAACGACGATCATGAAGTGATGTAAATCAAGCTCACCTATGAATTGGAACCCCAGCTCGGGAGGAAGACTCGGCGCAGGTTGTGTGGGAAGGTGAGAACACCTATGATCAGATTGCCAAGACTCTGGCGTGATGCAGAGGTCTTTTTGAGAGAACTATAAGTGAGGAAGTTTCCCCGGCTGAGACATCGTCAGCAAACGTTGTAAAAGGTGATGGAAGACTCGAGAAATCGCCAAAATGCATCTCGCCATAGCTCTCCTAGTCCAAGCGACTCTAGCCCTCAGCGCACCCCTCGACGACCTCACAGCCTGCCTCCGCACCGCTTCCGTGCCCATCGCATCCTCAACCCCGACGCCATACAACCTCCGCGTCCCCGTTAAGCCACTTCTCGTCGCCGTGCCGACCACAAATGCCCAAATCGCCTCCGCGGTAACATGCGGTTCCAAGAGCGGTGTCAGGGTCAGCGCAAAGAGCGGCGGACACAGCTACATCTCGACTGGGTACGGCGGCGAAGATGGACATCTTGTGATTAACCTAGACCGCATGTACAGCGTGACTGTCGCGAGCGACGGGACGGCCAAGGTCCAGGCTGGTGCGCGGTTGGGACACGTAGCCACGGAGCTGTATAATCAGGGGAAGAGGGCGATATCGCATGGAACTTGCCCAGCGTGAGCGTCAATCTGAATGATCAACGATACTTGGAGCTTGGCTTACGCGCATCTCAGTGTTGGTGTGAGCGGCCACGCCCTCCACGGAGGTCATGGCATGGTCTCCCATACCTACGGCCTCGCAACAGACTGGATCAAAGCGGCGACAGTCGTCCTCGCCAACGGCACAATCACGCGCTGTTCAGCGACGGAGCGTCCCAACCTCTTCTGGTCCATCCGCGGTGCGGGCTCCTCCATGGTCATCGTCGCAGAACTGGAATTTAACACCTTTGCCGCGCCGGAGAAGGTGACGTATTTCGATATAGATCTTGTCTGGGATACGGCGAAGCTGCCACAGGTTCTGCTGGATACGCAGGAATTTGCAAAGACTATGCCGGCGGAGCTGACGATGTCGACGACGTTTAATAACGACGGGAGTTATCTGAACGGCGCGTATGTTGGCGATGATGCGGGCTTTCGCGCGGCGGTGCAACCTTTGCTTGCAAAGATTGGTGCGAAAGTGTCTAGTTCCAAGACTGTTGGATGGATCGACTTTATCAAGCACTATGCGGGTGTGACGGATATCGACGTGACAACGGCAACATACAACGAGGTAACTTGCACCTTGCACACCGAAGCTGCAAAAGGGGGGAGACCTACTAACGCGGTCAACAGCACGACAACTCCTACGCGTCAAGCCTCACAACACCCGCGCTTACAAAAACGACCTTCCAATCCCTCGTTGACGCCATCGCTAAGAACGGCCTCACCGCAACCCGGTCCTGGTACATGCACATGAACTTCCACGGGGGCGCAAACTCAGCCGTGGCGCGGCCCCAGACCAACGATACCGCCTACGTTCACCGCGACAAGATGCTTCTCTTCCAGCTCAAGGATGGCGTCTCGACGAGCCAGACGTATCCCTCCGACGGGTTCGCGCTGCTCCAGGGGTTGAGGCAGAGTATTGCCAAGGGGCTGGGCAGTGATCAGTGGGGGATGTATGCGAACTATCCAGATTCTCAGATTAGTGAAAGCGAGGCGGTGCGGTTGTATTGGGGGAGTAATCTGAATAGGTTGGAGTGGGTCAAGGCTGATTATGATCCGACGAATTTGTTTCGATTCGTGCAGTCTATCAAGCCTGCTGAATAGGACGTAAGCTTGTGTAGCGAAGTATGGTTAATTGAATGGGGGAGAGCGGGTGTCGCGAAGAAGTTCCTAGGAATGGCATCTCTTGGATGAGATAAATGGAAACCTTGCCTGATTGATATGGTATTATCCAGTAAGGCATACAAACTTCAATCTCACTCCTTCAATCAAGAACATGGCGGTGAAGCAAACGAATAAATAGTCAATATGTCGTGCTAGGATCGAGAGGGAGTATGAAAGTCGAAGACTAGACAAGAAGTGCTAGCAGAAAAAGAAAGAAAACAAAAAAGGTACACATGCATATACTTGGCACATGGAGGTATGAAAGATGGCAAGTATGTAGCTCAGCTTAAAGTAGGCAGTCATGAGGACAGGGCTTCGTGGCCTTTTACATTATAAGATTACATGTACAGATAGGTAACAATTACTCGAAGGGTGTCGCTCTAGGATGCACCATTCGTCATTGCCATGATTCAAGATTCATGGGTTCGCTCAAGCCATGCTAGGCACGGTCGCGCGGTAGCCCAGGACGCGATGAGTCCACAAGCTGCTTCGGCGCGGTGTCTTTGACAACTCGAACAGGTACACCGCCGAAACGCAACGAGTGAAGGTCGTCGACTGCTTCCTGAGCGCTTCCGGAGCGATCGCAGGATGAAGCACAATGCAAGCTTCCTCAACCCCGAAGACTCTCCACAGTAAACAATACAACTAATCGATCTTCGATTGGTATGTTGCTTGAAGAGCATTCAGGCACATAGAGACAGAGAAAGACGAGGGTATCAAATTCGAGCGAAGCATGTCTGCCCAAGTGTCGCGGAGGGGGTCTTTCTCAAACGCGATCAGTCAGTCTGCCGTGTAGCTCGTGAGACTGCCCTCAGCTTGTGCGGTCTATCCTCGGTCTCTGTTATTGGCCGTGTTTATGTGCCAAGCAGTGTCGAGCGCACTTGTTAGGTCTGCCTACAAAGCCCGTCGATGGATACTACCGAGTGAGGAACAAACTTTCGCCAGTCGCACTCGGCAGGTTCCATCAGCTTTAGAGCAGATAGACTGACGGTATCAAGGCGCAGCCGAGGCCCTTGGAGCTGCGTCTTCGAATAGCCACACGCGTTGTTGTTGCGCGGGATACCCATACCAACGACAAAAATAACTGAGTAGAGTTGCACAGATAGCACACAAGGTGCCATGGGTCAACGACACAGGAGCCGTGGCCTGTCGCGAGCTGGTTGATCATTTGAGCTGGCCTCATCATCGATGGTCGAGCATTCGGAAGACAGACGTGTTTCTGACAAAACATTCTTCATCCTGGACGCCGCAGCCCAAAGCCAGTCGAGTAGCCCGATCGTCGCCGTGTCCTTGCATATCGGCAATGATGCGTGCAGCAGCATTACAAGACATTTCCAGCGGCGAGGCAGCCGGTGGGAGCTGCTGATGGGATTCCAAGGGACGGGGAGGTGTCTCACTACGACGATGATAGGGATGCGGGCTCCTGGACGGTTCCGAGACAGTGTTGGGTGCCGAGCCAGTTTGGGAGGAGCGATTGAGACTAGCGTCGGCGAGCACGGCGAGCCTGTCTAGATGGGAGGCTTGTTGGACATCTGGAGTTGGAGTAAGGGTGAGCACCGGCGGGAGCAGCGAGTCTCCGAATTTCCTCTTGGATGCTAGGTGCTCGTTCTCCGTCTCAGACGAGAAGCTCGCCTTGCCAAAGTGTTCTTGTAGCGGAGGCAATTGGGTCGGTGATGGCTCGAGGAGGATGGGTGTATTGAGGATGGGAGCGAGTGTCGTTATATTTGACGCACTAGGCGAGCCCTTGCTACCTTCGTCATCGAATGATCGCAAGTGTGCGTCCACCTCTCCATTCGATACGCCTTTGCTGACGAGCAGGGCGCGCAGACGAGTATTCTCGGTCGCGAGTCGTGAGTTCTCAAAGGCGACGTCTCGAGCAGCCTTTTGCATCTGCAAAGAGGCCTGAGTCCCCCGCTTCTCGTAGTCCTGGACCTTACGCTGCAACTCGTCGACAAACTCTTTATGGCGGGCGCGTGATCGTCGTTGATTATCGCGTATTCGAATGGCATTCGCGGACTTGTCGGTCTGGAGCTGTTGCTCGAGTAAGAAGTCAGTTTTCGTCGTCGAGAGAGAAGAGATGAAATTTTAGCTGAAGTCCAAAGAAGTTTTTTTTTTTTTTTTTTTTCCTGGCATGTCACCCGGACCCCGGTAAGGGAACGGGAATCACACAGAAAAGAGGTTCGACCCCATCGACTTACTCGACCACGTTTAGCCCTCTTAGCTTGAGGACCGAAAAGATCTTGATAATCTTGCTCCGAAGACATGGTGTTGACTGTTGGCCTGTTCCATCCGAAGATCCCGGGAGGGTATGGACGCGGAGACGAACATTCGGTGGGCGGTGAGGCAGGTTTAGAAAAACAACCTGCTGTGATTTTTTTTTCGTGGTGGTTGGACGGTCGGGGGGTGGGAGGTGGTGACAAACACCATGGGAAAAAAAAAGGAACAAAAAAAAAAAAGAACCAACCCGCGTCGGCCAGCAAACCCGCTCGTTCTGGTCTGCCGATGACTAATATCACCAGCCAGCCAATCCGCGCCTACTTGTCTGAGTTTTCCGTAGGCGCTAAAATCTGATTGGCAAATCAGACGGGCTTCATGTGTATCCATAGCGGGTCTAGTGGGGGCCCAAGCTCCATTGCCCCAAACATGGCATTTCTCACTTTTCACTCTCACTCTCAGCTTCCCAGTGAGTCTCACTCTCACTCTCACTCTCCTGTCCTCCCGTGGCTGGGCTAGTATGTCTCTCGGTGCAACCTCCGACCACTCATCATCAAGGACGGCAGCCACTGCATTGTCTCGTTGGAGTAATCCATGATGGAAGAGTCCAACAGACACTCGAGAATGTCCCGGGCATTCTGAGACCGAAAACCGCTGGGTCACGTTGCTGTTGCGCGCTCTGGATTCACGAATAATTCGAAAAGGCCTGGCCCCATGCCTGCTAGTGCGGGAAGCTAGGTATTTCACTTTTTTACCCTCCCTTTTGCCCTAGCAATTCTTGAATGTCACTGGGGGCATGCTAGTCACGCTCCTCTTACGACATCCCATGGGTCCACCTAGGTATCTCGTCTCCATATGCGCGCCGAGTTGCAAGGATTCATCGTGTGGAGTTCAGGGTCTCGTTCTACGGATAGAGCTGGCTACCGTGAGTGGAACCATTCTATATATGGATGAGTTTGGTCAACTCATCCTGTTACGGGGAATAAGTGAGTGATAACCAAACCGAAGATGCAACCAGTGACACGGGCTCGCCATCTAAGGGAGTCGGGTCTCGAACTATTTCTTCGTGGGTTAAATGGGAAACTTTGCGGGAGATGCATTCTTTGGGTCCTTCCACCCAAGACCCCCTGCTTACAGCTCAGTAGGGCTGGTCTCCTCTCCCGGCGACAGTCTCCCTTGAATACATGTGTCCAACAAAGAGTGACTTGTTTCTAATTCAGAACAATCCTCGAGTACATCAGCAATCCGCGGGCCAAATTCCCAAGCTCAACAGCCCCCAAGAGGCGCTCAGACAGCACTCGGGTACGTGGGCAGTGCTCGTTTACCGGCAGGCTGGGAAGGGATGGACGCAAAAATGGGCCCAGATTTGTTACAACAACAATCATCCTCCCAACTGAGACAATCTCGAGGGATTATTTTCACCTTCGAACACCCCCCAGCATTTCTGGGCTATCAAGATAGAAATGGCATGAAGGATCTACAACCGCTGGCATAGTAAGTTTCAGTGATTGGCGCTTTGGGGCCGTGAGTCCGATGCTGTCAACCTGACCAGACCGTCTGATACCAAAGATTTCGTGAATAGAAGACCCTTGATTGCAGCTCCCATAGATGGCGCCAAAGCGTGTAAGTCGCAACGTCCCACTAGATAACATAAGACTTTACATGGAACCAGAAGATTGAAGGCGTAACCGTTCCGCTTCGACTTGAAGCAATGAGAAATTCATACACACGTGCCGTTAAAAGTCAAATGGTCTGTTACATGTCTACGAGGCAACTGCCGATGGTGCGTCCGCTTAACTAATACATGTCGCTAGTCCCTTGTTTTTGTTGCAACAGTCATTGGTGCTCATGAGACTACGGTCGTGGTCGACGAGTAAAGCTAAGGTATGCCAACCTGAAGTTGATCCAACTATGAGCAAACAGTGTCCATCAAACTATACATTCTCAGAGTCCTTTTCTTAAATCAAAGGGTTTTGAACGATACCTTCCTACATAGACAGAGATATAGTGGGAGTGGAGGCAATAAAACTTTGTCTTATCCCACCGTTTGTTGACTGAGAGCCTATGTAACACAAAGTCTTGCAGATCTTTCAGTCTTTGTCCACCCGAGACACCAAGCCTCGGCCTTTGAGGACACCTGGAATAAATAACGGTCTGGGGTGGCGCCAGAAACTTGACTGAGACTGTCAAAGAATACACGTAAGCTTCCCGCTCACCCAGACGCAATGCGTATCTGAGGCCGTAAGCTGCCATTAGATATTGAATCGAATTCGATTTCTACCATAATTCATGGCCGACCTACTCGCACATGTGAAGAAAGGTGTACACCTACATCAGGGTTACAGTCGATGTTGTGCAGAGACACAAGGTGGGAGTAGAGGTCCAGTCGAGATGGTGCACGAGGGTTGGTGCGCCGATTCTGCCATTGCAGAGCTAATAACAGGACTTATTATGACAGTCAGTGGCGTTTCCTTACTAAGCAGCGGTTGAAGTCGTCCAAAATTTGAATCTTCTGGTATACATGTCAGTAGGGAAACCTCCCGGCCTGTACGAAGCTCAGTAAACGTATGTTGAATTACGTAGGACTCTTATATGGAAGAAGGAATAAATGGGAAGCCCATCAATTCCTTCTATTATTTGCCAATCATTACAGTATGACTGACGGCAAACGACATGCTCGTGAAAGTCTTCGGCTCGCCCCTCCGCGGATACAACAAACCATGAAATTCTATTAAACACAAAATAAAGCAGAATGACAACAAAACATGCACATTTTGAATTAACGTCATGCAATCACTAAAAGTAAAAGATTTCCAGAAGATTTCTCCTAAAAATTCGGGCTAAGGGGTTGAACCCTGGCCCTATGAAAATCCCACCCCCCCTAGGGGGTTTTCTGCTCTGTATTGAAACGCTCGGCTATGGCGTTCGCGGGGCGTCCCCCAGGGCTGGTACACATTGAGAAAAAATTTGTAAATAGAGGGGTTGGATGAGCCCTGTGTGGTTGCCATCCGGGCAGGTGAAAGAGGCCATAGTTCTGACGGCTTGGATGTTGGGATGAAAAGGGGGACACACCCAGAACTCAACTATGTCAATACAGCCGTTTAATCACACACTTGACCCTCCAGAATATTGTAAGAAAAGAAGAAAAGATCAATAAGGAGGGTGATTTGCGCTTTGTAGACAGCCTTTAGCCCCTGTCATCCAGCTACGTTCCTTTAGGGGCACTTACCTGAAGGTAGAAATGGATGGGCTTTGACGATTTCCTCCTTCCTTCACAGTGCAAACTCACTTACTTTGATATGATTATTGGACTTACCGCCGGTTGATAGGTTGCTCTGTTGACGTGTAAATCATTGAATTTACTTTGGCTGAAATAGTGCCTATATCTTCGGCGACATCACTAGGACGTGCTTCGATGTACACTATGTGAGTGTGGTAATGGTGAAAAAGGGGCAATTACGAGGGAGGTCGCGTCTCGTCGTATTTATTCTCTTTTCTGTCTTTGCTGATGGCTCGGGCAACTCTCGGTAAAGCATTTTATCATATGTCTTATCACAGACAAACAGGCTCTATATTATATCCAAACCCCTCGCACATTGGGAGACGTGTTTATAGCACGAATCAAGGCGAGGTAGTGTTGGTGGTTGTGAGAAAATTATGGAGTGCTGCAATCGACACACAACTACTTATAGGGGTCAATATGATATCAATTTGACTGCGTTGGAAAGTCCGGTTACTTGTGGGGGAGGGGGGGGGGTATTAAGCGACCTGAACTGGTAGAAAGATTGAGCTCTCAGTGAGCCCGCCAAGCGGTGATGACTTCGTTCTCCATGCCCCAGCCCTACTGAAGCTTTTGTAATAGTCCCCGAGGTTATTGAGCGAACTCTGGAGATGACAACACACACACACACACACACACACTCTCTCTCTCTCTCTCTCTCTCGAGTCATCGTTTAGTTGCTATATCTATCTGAGATACTTACTTACTAAGTACCTATCATAAGGTCTTGGGATATAAGTATCGTCGTTGTGAATGGTAGAAACCTGGACTGCGGCTAAAACTAGTCACGAATTGAAAGATAATTGCATGTGTAGCATCGCCTTACCAAGGCAATTAGGGCTGGAACCTTCATTACCTCTAACACTTTGTTCCTTCTCACATGAGGTATCGTATGAACTTGATGTACTATGTCTCGGGGCGTGAACATTTATGTCAGCTGCGCAAGTTTAAGAAATGAATTGTGCCAAGGAAGGTGATTACCTTGGATGAGTCAAAAAGCCATTACCATACTAGTAAGGTAGCCTACGGATCGAGCCTGCCAATGGAGCAACATTCAGGCTACTCAAGGCTTGAAGCTTGACTGAAATCATCACACTAACACCCTTCGTTAGCTGGTAATTTGAGGTAAAGGAGGTGAGCAAGATATGATCTTTGCGAACTTGATACGATTTAGGAAGCAAACAGCCACGACCCAAATCACATTGCACACGAGCGGAAGTGGCCGAAAGACCGGGCTAGAATCCCTGCTCTAGTTATTGGTAAGTGGAACAATCTTCTCTGTCATCAGTTTGATTCGCTTGATAGATCTGTCGAGCTTGGCGACATGGGGGAGCTAGAAGAGGCGCGAGTATCTTCTCCACGATCGAATCGGACAACCGGACATGAGAATTAAACCTTCATCCCGAGACTACAGCCTTTGAGGGTTGGGTTAATTATTCAAGTACTCAGCTGAATACAGTCGTCGACCACTGAACCTCCCACAGGGGGACAAAAGCCGGATGGCTAGCCTTATTGAGCTTTGCCTCGATGATATTGGTGGATCGGAGGAGGGCCCGAGTTTTAGAGTCGAAGTCTTCTTTACGGGGAAGGATAGACGCCCAGACCAGGGGGAGCAGCTACTGCCAAAGGAGTAGTGCCACACAGGTTTCCGGATCGAGTTTATACCCCGTCAAGTGTACTGATCGGGGCATAGATAAACCCTGGACACGGGGAGGTGTCATCCAGGCTCGGCTGTTGGCGTTTTAGCCTTCGACCCTTCGCCTGTAGCCTACGCCCATATCTATGGTGGACACGATGATACGTTCAAGTTAATTTGCCCTCTTAGCTCCGGTAATCCGGATAATGATGGAGGATCAGCAGATGGTTGCTCCTTGTAGCACAAACTCACTCGATGGATGAAGTCAGAACATGAGTTGAAAATAACTTGAACAATGAAAAGTGTCGATACTATGACCTGCTTGTCATTTGTACGTGATTCTACCGTCCACAGAAACCTTGGAGGAGGTCCGAAAATGGCGGCCCGGAGGTCTAGACACATGTATGAACCATATGGATGACTTGAAGAGGGAGCTGTAACCGGCCAGGTCTCAGGTTCCACATCTTGTACATGCCTCGTTGCTTGTTCAATGGATGCGTAACGCAGGACGGTTGATCAGATAAGTTATTGTCCAGTCCCACGTTCCAGACTCATTATACACACAGGCAAAGTCCAGGCCATGAAGAGCGGGCGAAAAAGTGCCGAAAACGAGGGGAGCCGTTGTCATAAAAAGTGTGACGATGGATGAATTTTACTCCTCGAGGTAGTTCTTCAGCCTGTCAATGAATAAGCTCGGTTACACAAAACCGGTCTTCTTGTTGTCGCCCTCAACCCCCCTCAGGAATGCTACATTATCATTGCCGGATGAATGGCACACCTCGGAATCTGCCAAGCGGGTATACACGTTTTCGGTCAAGACTGAGGAGGGGGAAAACAGCTGACGGATGCCGGGTGCGTTTAAGCGTGCCCGGCAGCCGTGTAGAGACAACGCGCTTGGAAGGGTTTCGTAACTTTCGTTGAAGATTTTCGTGTCTCTGATGAGATCAAATCCATATCCGGTCGCATGGCATCATATTGTTTCCCGGAAACACTTGTCAAAGTCGGAAGTCCGACATCAGGAGACCTTCGAGGTCAGGAAAATGGTCTCGATCCTGAACCCATGGTACGCAAGTTCATAGTCAGCTTACGCTATTGCTTGGGCCCTACGAGCCGGTCAATTGACAGCACTTGAATCTTCCATCCTAGATGGTGGGCACACTCAAGAAGCTGTACAGCCCGGTTGAGCCGTGGTTGGGATGCCGTGATGGGACCTGCTCTTGAAGTTATCGTCAGTCTAAGTGGAATTCATTTTCCCAGAACTTTGGTTCAACGGCAATTCTTCTCGTTTCTTGACGCCGGCTTTTTCTTGCGCCAAGAGGCTTCGTTGGCATCATCGGCACGTCGCTGGCAAAGGGGAAGAGTGTACTTTCACATCAAAAGAATGGAAGGGCTCGCGCTGCGGTGCCAAGCGCGAGCCATGCCCCGAAACGTGATAATGCCCGGCCCCAACACATTCTTGAAAGGGATGCTCGAGGCCTAGCGGCCGATCCGACATGGAGTCGACAAGCCGCCATAGCCTAAATCGGAGCTAGTTGTGTCTCTGAGCTATGGTCAAGCTCGACTGTGCCTTCGGCATCTACTGAGGCGCAGAATGGGGCGTAGTCGGAAAAGAGAGAGCGAGAGAGAAAAAGAGGCTTAAAGGCATTTTTGAGCCGCATTCGGTTAAACCGCTTCTCATTTTCGCCAACACCAGAATACGGACGGCGAGCCTCCCTCGGCGGTCTTGACATGTGTGCTTGGCCTTTCGATTTCCAGAAGACGGAAGTCGTCCTCGTGAAGGTTCTCAAACTTTAACTAAGCGAACGACCGACCAATCCACACAGACTTCAGGCCTTTGCCCGGCTCCGATCGTCCCCTCGATTCAGATTCTGGGGCGTTGACCGCACCTCAGCCAGAGAAGTGGAAACCTATCTGCAGGACATCTGTCCGCGGGCATCTGAGACCTTGTCCTTCAGTTCAGGGTTTAGCCGTAAAGTCACACCAGGAAACCATGGCCTTCCCACCCAAGGCAGTCATAGGTCGGATGGAAAACGTGGGATACCGTAGAAAGCGTGTGAGTGAATGACACTTGAACACGCCCACCCCCTCCACCCCCTTCCCCTCCCAGCATCAGGCAGTCTTTCAGATGACGGCCCCAGTGGTCTGGGCCGACTTGTCCGCACCCGGAAGGCTACTTTGCCATCTCCGCCGTGGCTTGCACGACGACGCCCCGTCCTCCCCGGCGGCTGATCCGAGCCGTACCCTCATCCATATTTGTTATCCTTCCCAGGTATTTCCCCCTCTCATGGTTGCACAATTTTCTCTCGTCCCTTCTTCTGCCCAATCTCGTACTGCTGGTCTTCCCGACTTTGGTGTTCACCGGAACGCACCCCCACGAGTCCTTGGACGCCTTCACTTCCGTCATGATTTGATCACAACACCATTTGATACCACAGCGAAAACCATATCATTGTTGCAATGAAGCCATATCTTATTTTACTATCTTTCTTGGCGAGCCTGCCATTAGTGTATGGCCTCTACGATGATGTGCCAGATTGCGCAGTAAGTAATTCAGGAACTAAATCTTACTCGAAGGTGCTGACAAGTAACCCAAGTTACCATGCCTATTCGAACCCCTCGACTATACATCATGCCAGTTCAGTAATTCGACATGTCTCTGCGAAGACATGAACTATAACATGGCTGTGATCCATTGCGTTCGGGTCCAGTGCAGCGTTCAGCAAGCTTTGAGTAAGAATATCATGGCTGCTTGTTGTAAGACGCCAGGAGATGCTAACACGGGCCTGCTAGTCACGAAGAATCGAACATGGCAAGACTGCGGATTCGCTTATCATGATGAAGGCGTTTCCATCGCATGGGTTCCGTCATTTCTCTTCGGAATGGTGACACTGTTTTTTGCCATGCGACTGGCGACGAAATGGATAGGTTTATCGACTTGGGGGTTGGACGATACGACCATTACCTTTGCATACGTAAGTCTAGCGGAGCGATCCCGAAGTGAGGTCTTCGCTAACCTTTGATTACAAAGGTAATGATGATTGCGTTCTTGGTCGCCACACATCTTGGACGGCAAGAGGGATTCGGAAAAGACATTTGGACGCTCACGGTGGATCAGATTACAAATTTCATCAGGGTAAGTTCGGGAGCCCAACGACATTGAGAACATGACTAACTCGCAACTTCAGGGCTTCTTCGCTTTTGAGATTGTCTACTCTGTGACCCTTGCCGTTATCAAAGCGTCGATACTATTCCTCTACATACGCATCTTCGGAGCACTCACCGAGACTTTCCGCCGAATCTTGTGGGCGACGCACATCTTCAATATTGTTGTGTGCGTCACATTTGTCATTGTCAACTTGAACCAATGCAAACCTCTCAGCTACTTTTGGTTTGGATGGGATGGCAGACATCCCGGTTATTGCATTGACTTGTCGGCCATGGCTCTCTCTCATGCGGCCATCAACATCGCTCTTGATCTCTGGATGCTGGTTTTACCAGCCACGCAGATCTACAAGCTCAACCTGCAGAAGAGGCAGAAAGCCGGTATTATGTCCATGTTTGGCGTTGGCATCTTGTGAGTCCAGCCAACCTCGTTTGTTACTGTGTCTTTCGACTAATCTGCATGTTACAGCATCACTATTGTCAGTGCCGTTCGCTTGCGCAGTGTAGCACAGTTCAACAAATCATGGAACCCAACCTGTAAGTTAACGTAACCCTTGATTTTCAAAGTTCCTCTTCCTGACGTATGGATAGACGACTTCTTTGGCCTGGCACTATGGTCCCACATCGAGCTTTGCGTTGGAACAATCGTGGCATGCATGCCAGCAGCCCGAGCTCTCGTCCGACGACTCTTCCCCGAGCTACTCTACGTCACCAATATCTCCACGAATAGAACTTCCACCAGAGCTTCCGGCAACGTCAAGATTGTGTCTCAGGACATTGCGACCATTGCGACGGATGATCTCCCCGAGAGCTCGACAGCGAATTCTACGAAGAAGGACTCGCTCGCTACCCTGACGCCCGACCGGGTTCCGCTAAGGCGATTGACTACGAGCGATAGCTTGTTGCAAATCTCTCTCAGCGATCGTGATCGCTCGTTGTACGGAGACTCACAGAAAGGAAGCAAACTCAGTGATTGGTAAACGTCTATTTGACCACCTGTATTCGTACACGGCATTGTTGGTGTTAATGGGACTGGCGAAGGAGCGCGAAAAGTATCGATAATACCCTGTCTGTACTGCAAAGCAGATTGATGTTCAGATTTCTTTGGAACGATGTATTGAGATGCAATCCACATTATGTAAGATACTATTAAAAAAATGCAAAACAGAACACACAGATCTATACATTTCAGATGCCAAGGATCTCTGCTGCGCGGGAGATTGCAGATGCGCTCTTCTCTACCCATTCTTGGGCCTGCGTCTCATTGCCAGAGCTCAGACTATCCTGTACGGCGGGAAAGACATCGGCGCCGTAGCCGTTATCGAGACCGGGAGCACTTATGACATTGTGGAATGTCGGGCGTCCAGGGAGGCCGCCGGCGCTTGCGAAGCCACGCGAGAAGTCTCGGTACTTGCCGTTGATAACGTCGATGAGGACCGTGTCGTTGAAAGCGAGGGCTTGTTTGGCCACTGTGGCGATGCGCTCGGCTGCGGTCTCGAACTCGGTAATCGCGTCGTGGATGGGTGATAGACTTAGGCTGGGATAGTCCCCTGCGACGGTCTCATTGAGATCCTCGTAATGGTTTCGTAGCACGCGTCCGGCATTGGGCAGATCCCAGGGGATAATCACATCATCGGCGATGTGATATGCGACCAAGGTGAGCCACTGGCCCATTACCCGATGAATCTTGAAGCCTGGGTCTCCGAACTTTGCCATCCAGGTATACGAATCGTAGTGTCTACTCTCCATCAGTCATATGCGTCATGAACATCACGTGAAAGACTTGGCTTTACCCGTGATAATGGTAGACCGGGTCAGTTTTGCCTCCGTCTGATCCGATGTCAATCTTACTTATGTATCAGTCTCAGCTATCTCGTCAGGGGTATTTCAGAAGACTTACAGCACTAATGCCATTGTGGTAAAAGGAAGCGTAATCGCTGCCACTTCCCAGAGGAGCAATCTCACCCTCAGTAGTGTTGAACCACATGTCGTACAAGGTTGGTCCAACCCCCCAACCTTCAGGGAAAAGAACCTTCTTCATCATTTCAATGGCGACCGTTTGGATCTCGCCTGACCCAGAAAGAGCAGTTCGGGGGCCCGAAACAGCGACATCAAGGTTCAAATAGGCGACAGCGTTCGTCACGAGCCAAGGCAGATGGCTTTCGACCCATTCAGTCGACCCTTGCAGGCCAAATTCTTCAGCATCCCAAGAGCCCAAGATGCTAGAAGTCGAATCAGTTTTGCTCCCTTACATGAAGAAAGGAACACAGAGGCAGCATACATACATCGTACGACGGGGCTTCCATCCCTTGTCCAGAAGCTTGCCAAAGGCTTTGGAAAGTTCTATAAGAACTGCAGAGCCCGAATTTGGATCCGCTGCACCCCCAATAACCCAAGCGTCGCGGTGATTCCCGATAATGAGGACTTCGTCGGGATGGGTTCCATTGATGATACCAATAACATCCCAAGAGGGAGCGACCGTCTGGTTCATGAAATGGACCATATCAAGGGTGGCACCTGGTGTTGGACCGCTGCTGTAAGTGATGTTCGGCAGTGCACCAATCCAGCTGCTGCGGTTGACCTGCTCAGCGGACAAGCCGCTTCCATCAAGAGCGGCGAGCAATGGCACCGCATCCTTCATGCTGATGGGCACAGATGGAATGGTTGGGTTGTAAGGAGTCACATCATTCCTAGGGCCATCCTTCTCTGATGCATATCCGACTGTAGATGGATCACCTGAGTACAGTGAGGAGAAACGGACACTGCCTCTTTGGATCATAGAAGGATTTCTAGCTGGACCATCTAGAGTCATCCAATGTCTTAGTCAAATATGTCTTTGTGGAACCTGACATACGGGGCTCCGTTCTGGACTGACCTGGGTACGCAAGGTAGCCGTTTGCAACGGTAATTTCTCCGTCATCAAGAGGATCGGTGAAAAGGACAGCCCCGATCATGCCGTTGTCCTGAATTGTCAACTTCTTGAACCGTCCCGCAGAACGAGTGAGACATACCTGTGCATTCTTCACTTTGGTTCCTCTGTAAATCGCACCGTACATGGACAGCGCAATCTTGCCTTCCAATTCGATTCCAGCATCTTTTAGAGCCTGAAAATCTCCGCGTTGTCCGCGACTGCGCCCAAAAGTTAGGATCCTTAACAGCGATTATTTCGTGGTTCTGGAGTCAACATACCCGACGTAAACATATTCGGCGCTGATGTTGCCGCTTCCGCTCATGGCATGGTAGGCCGGGATTCGGTTGGGATAGCTAGTAGTAGGATCCTCCTCCAGCATGTCCTCGATTAAACTGACATTGTGGACGCTTCCATCCGGTCTATTCAAAGTCAAGGTAGTCTCGAGAGGAGCAGTATACCAGATCCAATATTCCTCAATGGAAGCATTCCAGCCAGCATCAATCCATTTTTGTTGCGTCCACTCAGCTAGAGTTCGGTTGTGTCCGCCAAGATGATCTCCAGACGTATAGTAGTGAGACCATTCGTCGAGCGATTTGCTATCAAAGGAGTTCACAAGTATAGACTCGTATTCCGTGAGAGAAGGTGGGTAATCCACTGCCATGTCTCGTTTCTTGTAACCATGATCGTGGTGACTGTGGCTCTGGATGCGGCGGTTCAGCGCTGCCCAGTCACGCTGACAAGCGTAGACACTTGTGGCCGTCAAGGCCAATGACAGAAGAGTTTGTCGCATAATGGAACTACCGCAGTATTCCCTTGATTCCCTTGATGATCTCGAAGATCCAGTGTTCTTAAATGAGCAAGTCACTTGACTTTTAAACATGCAGTCTTGAGGATTACCGTATGCTCGTCATATCATGAGCCCCTCTTACAAGGCTCAAAAGTTCCATAAGCATGCAGAATCAAGGCAGAAACCGAGGAAAGACCATTGAGTCTTCTTCGACCAATACCATGAGCCAATCTCACTTGCAAAGCCCGCGTTGTCCGCACCTCATGGTGCCTACGTGACATCCTACGAACTTCCTATCGGGCGTAGCGTTCATGTAATGTAACATGAGCCAGCGGTGAATGAGCCGAATTCAAGCAACGAGACTGCAGCTTATATCTTCGGAGGATTGGCTGGCAGTGAGGGGTAATATGAATTTAGTGATCTCAAGCGTGGGGTAGAGCTTGGCGTACGTAGTCACGCGCATGATGAGTTGATTGGCATTCTTTCTTGCAAAGATGCCATCGGCCATGTATGCTCGAGAAACCGAAGGGTGAGCTCGGAGTGTTCGGGACGCTTCGAGCCGTTATCGGAAATCTTGAACCGCTGGACTCGATGTTCGATG